AAGAATTGAGTACCATAGACCACATCCACACGATTACAAGACTCATTGAAGTTTCACGAGAGTACAAACAACCACTCTGCCTCATTTTCAGCGATTTGAACAAAGCCTTTGTTTCAGTGGAAACAGAAGCGGTTATAGAGGCCCTGGATAACCAGGGCGTCCCTACTTGGTACATAATGATCCTTCGTGAGCTTTATAAAGATTTCACGACCAAAATATCTCCATTCTACAACAATATCACCATTGACGTAAGAAGAGGGGTTCGACAAGGCGATACAATATCGCCAAAACTATTCACTGCCACCCTGCAAAACGTCATGCGAATATTAGAATGGAACGAAATGGGAGTGAAAATTGACGGTCGACAATTAAACCATCTTCGCTTTGCTGACGATATCGTTCTCATAACACCAAACATCAGCCAAGCGGAACGAATGTTGACTGATTTCGATAACGCCTGTGGAAAGATCGGTCTTCAACTGAATCTAACGAAAACAATGTTCATGAGGAACGGATGGGTTTCTAATGCCCCGTTCACGCTCAACGGAACGACAATCTCCGAATGCTCCAGTTACGTCTATCTAGGTCGTGAAATCAACATGATGAACGACCTAGCTCCAGAGTTGAGCAGGAGGAAACGAGCCGCTTGGGGAACGTTTAAGAGCATCGAAGATGTAGTGAAGAGGACAAAGAACATCCGACTCCGTGCCCACCTTTTCGACTCGACAATTATCCCTGCCGTAACGTATGCAGCAGAAACCTGGTCGCTACGTAAGCAGGATGAAAGATCTACTTGCCGTTATCGAACGCGCAGTCGAAAGGTCGATGCTAGGAGTATCCCGCATCTCACAAATGAGAGAAAGGATCCGATGTTCCGACCTACGTCAATGATCGAAAATCAGAGACGCCGTTCTACACGCCAGGATTTCGAAAATAAGGTGGGCCGGACAAGTGATGCACTTCAACAACAACCGATGGACGAGAGCCGTTACCGACTGGATTCCCTGAAACGTCAAGCTTCCTGAAGGAGGACCATTGACCCGTTGGTCCGATTTCTTCACGAAAGCGATAGAAGAAAGATATGATGCGTAGCGAATCCCTAGAGCGAAGAGGACTCACTGGGATACTCTTGCACGCGACAGGGAAAAATGGAAAATTTGCTGGTATCCGCTCGAGTCACTCGACGATCAACGGGTCGACAGGTGATACAGGTGATTCCCACAATTTATAAGCCACACTGAGAGAATAAAGGATGAAGGGTAAAGCTCTCGGCGTTGATCAATCCCTGAGAGATGCGCTATGCATTCGTCTTCAATTTCTAACTTCGTTTGAGGTGATTGAATGCACATCTGGACTTTACAATGACTCGCGGTGGACTCCCGCTGAACCGAGTCAGTGCTGTCTATCCTCCCAGACAAGTCTGAGACCAGTCTCCTACCAATTTACCGACCCCGCAGGGATGGATAGCTTGTAGAGCCATGAACGCGAGATCGAACCATTCACCTCGTGTGCGACGCAGAGCACCTCCAAGCACTGCGTCACATGCGCTCTGAGAACACCCTGAGAGAAACAAACATAAAATTATAATTCTCCGTGGGTGTTAAGGAATTTCTTCCTCAACCAAGTAATGGCGCTCAAAAGAAGGATGCAAACCATCTGATAGAAGAGAGTAAATGAGACATTCGAAACAAATGTCTCAAACATCAAATAATACGAATCAAACTCGGGTATTTGAGGGGGCGACGTGGCCGAGTGGTTGTGATGCTCGTCCTCACTCTGGCAGTCGACATTAACGACGCCCTAGGGACTGCCCAAGCCAGGATATCCTCGAGAATGCGAGGAGACTCGTCCAATCAGTATTCTACGAGATTCACGAAGAAGACGAATAAACGAATTGAATGTTAGAAGTCCTGGGATCCGGACAGTGAAAAAAACCCTTTGAAGACGAATCAATAAAGAATAAGTAAAGGGGGATTTTAGATAGTTGGTGGACTGTAAAAAAAAAAAGAAAAAATTCTATTTGGCAGCAATCAAGCGGTTCCATAATGCGGTAGTTTGCTCGTTTGTGCAAATGAACCAAAAAATTTCTACCGTATCGCGAATGACAAAATCAACGTCACCTTTCCGGATCATTCAGAAGCAGACGTGAGATTGGTAAGGAAGAGAATTGATCAGAATTCTTTTTATTTGACCACCACTTGCGGTAGTATAATGTTCTTGTATACCCAATAATGTGGAGCACTGTGCAAAAACACTTGCGTCAGCCGGGATTCGAACCCAGATCTCACTCTCTTTCCGGCCCCGCCAAACCGTCGACGCTTGATGTTGCCAGAGAACGCGTTATAGCGTTGAAAGAGTGCTGTGCAAAACGAGAGTCGGTGGTGAAAACGGTTAGCATACGCTCCCGGAAAGAGTGAGTGGGTTCGAATCCTGGCTGACGCAAGTGTTTTTGCACAGCACTCCACATTATTTGGTATCACCTGTCACCTATCACCTGTCGTCCCGTTGATCGTCGAGTGACTCGAGCGGGTACCAGCAACTCTTCCATTTTTCCCTATCGCGTGCAAGAGTAGCCCAGTGGGTCCTCCTCGCTCTAGGGATTCGCTGAGCATCATATCTTTCTTCCATCGCTTTCGTGAAGAAATCGGACCAACGGGTCAGTGGTCTTCCTTTAGAGCGCTTGACGTCCCGAGGAATCCAGTCGGTAACGGCTCTCGTCCATCGGTTGTCGTTGAAGCGCATCACGTGTCCGGCCCACCTTATTTTCGATATCCTGGCGTGTAGAACGGCGTCTCTGATTTTCGATCGTTGACGTAGGTCGGAACTTCGGATCCTTTCTCTCATTTGCGAGATACGAGATGCTCCTAGCATCGACCTTTCGACTGCGCGTTCGATAACGCCAAGTGATCTTTCATCCTGCTTACGTAGCGACCAGGTTTCTGCTGCATACGTTAGGGCAGGGATAATTGTCGAGTCGAAAAGGTGGGCACGGAGTCCGAAGTTCTTTGTCCTCTTCACTACATCTTCGATGCTCTTTGAACGTTCCCCAAGCGGCTCGTTTCCTCCTGCTCAACTCTGGAGCTAGGTCGTTCATCATGTTGATTTCACAACCTAAATAGACGTAACTGGAGCATTCGGAGATTGTCGTTCCGTTGAGCGTGAATAAGGCATTTGAAACCCATCCGTTTCTCATAAACATTGTTTTCGTCAGATTCAGTTGAAGACCAATCTTTCCACAGGCGTTATCGAAATCAGTCAACATTCGTTCCGCTTGGCTGATGTTTGGTGTTATGAGAACGATATCGTCAGCAAAGCGAAGATGGTTTAATTGTCGACCGTCAATTTTTTTTTTGGTATACAGGAAGAGAATTGATTTATACGACGTCTAAGTCTAGATGTCTTCGGAGGTTTTTCGGAGGTCGGACTGCTCCGAGTCGATGACGATGCACAGCTGATAGCCGATGGTGCATCGAGTCGAGCACGAGTGAGGAGGGAGACGCTCGGACCAGACCTCCGCTCACGGCAATGCCCTGGATACTATCCACTTTTCAATGGGCATTGTATTCCTCACAAGTCGATAATGCCAGGAATTTCCGGGAATCAATGTCGCATTCTCAAATGTCAGCTCCCTTAGAGGGGTGTTTTCAGCAATAGTTCCTACCCAGTGCTGTTCTATTCATCTGTATCGGTTCATACTGATTATAAGGAAACGATAAGAAAAACCGATCTCATTCGCCGGATAGGAACTTTTCAAGAAGTGCTGGTAACCACTCAAAAGCTGAGACTTCAGGCTACAGCTCCACTTCGTCGGTTTTCGAAAAAGCCTTTTGTTGACGTTGCCAGAGAAGGAGATTTCTTGCCTTGCAGATGTGCATATTTCTCGGCGAACAGAGCCCTTTTTCCGAAATATTAGTAATCATTCGACAACGTGGGATCAGAGACGGTTACGCTATTGAAAAAAAATTACTAGAAAAAATTTTAAAAAATGATTACTAATAGTCGGTGGTGCTACGGTTAGCATACGCTCCCGGAAAGAGTGAGATCTGGGTTCGAATCCCGGCCGACGCTAATGTTTTTGCACAGCACTCCACATTACTGATTACTTATAGTCCAAAGAAAGAGCTCTTTTCAGGGAGAAATATGCGCATCCAGGCATAGTTTTGTGTGGATTTCATAGCGTTAAGAAACTGTGTTTTGAAACCCGGTCATGCAGGTTTTCAGCCAGAACTCTAAGCATTCGAATGATTACCAACACTCCTATGGAAACTTCTTCAGCGAATTAATTCGGTTTTCCATTTGTTCCCTTATAATCAGAAAGTGTCCACCTGTCGTCGCGTTGATCGTTGAATGACTCGAGTGGGCACCAACACCACTTTCATTTTGCCCTATAGCGTGGAGAGGTAGCCCAGTGGGTCCTTCCCTCTCTGGAGAATCGCTAAGCATCATATCATTTCGTCTAGGCTTTTCGTGAAGAAATCGCACTGTCGGATCGGTGGTATTCCTGCGTTTGACATCCTGAGGAATCCAGTCAGCAACGGCTCTTGTCCATCGGTTGCCGTTGAAGCGCATCATATGTCCACCCACCTTATTTTCGCTGTTCTATTATGAGGAATAAAGGGAAAAGCTCTTGGCGATGATCAGGGTTCGAACGGGCGCCATGCATTCGACTGCATCAAGATGAGATGTCTGGACGCATATCTGGCGTTAAAATGATTCAGTGGCCTACCGCTGTATCAAGTAATTGTTTCCATTCTCGCAGACAAGTTTGCTAGAAAATCCCCAATCCCGTAGGTTTCGAAACCTTGGACGCGCGATCGAACACTTAACCTCGTGTATGCGGCACCACCGAGACCATTTGCGCCAGCACTCACCACTCATAGCAGTGGCTGATAGCTCAGCTGGGTTTACATAGCAAAATCGCATACTCGACAAAACCTGTTCAAAGTTAGTGGCTGAAAGCTATCATAGTAATACTGGAGAATGAGTGGCGGAGCAAATGTGCATTGGTGTTGTAGTACTAGCACGCATCCCCGGTATGGATGAAACGCGGGTTCGACCCCCGTCTGAGGCCGTATTTTTGCCACCACTCAGTTCTTGTAGGAATGTATGAAACATCATAACACCAGAAAAAAGCAGTAAAAAATCCTAGAATTCTCGAACTTTGAGAATGCCGGTTGAAAAACTGTAAAATTGATAGCAACTAGAAGAAAATTTTTTTGTATATTTCGTTGATTTTGGCTCTTCATTTCATTTTATTATGTCAAATAAACCCGACACGAAGCCTAAGCAGGCTATGCCTATACACAGAAACCATATGAAAGTTTATAAGATACCTCAGAGTACCAGAGTGAAACCTTTTCCCCAAATTTTTTTTTCAAAGCGGAGAAAAATTCCAGACTCATTAACGAAAACTCTACGTGTGAATCGCGCCCCGCGCGGTCGATCGATCGCGCATCAACTTACATCCACTCAAACACTTTAGACCACAAGCAATGCGCGCGGTGTTTGAAGACCTCTATTATTTTTCCTGCTACAGCATAGTGAAAGCGATTTTCTCAGAAACCACCACAACACTGAAACTTACGCTATCAAATGATTATTGATGCTGTGAAAGAAGAGCTCTTTCTTGCGAGAAATACGTTTGTATAGAGCACAAATCCATTTTTCCCACCACAACGCTTTAAAGAAGCTTTATTGAAAACCTACATAGTATAGAGCTACTCGATGCGTAGATCAATGACTAAACATTTATATGGGATGTACGACAACATTAACACCAAGCAGCAGTGATGACGCGATGAATCACGAGAGATATGATCGATACGGATAACCATCGCTATTCATTTGATAATGAATAGACTAAAAGAAAAAGCATACCTTTGATTAAAAATACAAAAGTCTACCATACTAGCAAAAGCAAAATCAAATTGGCCCTACGGATACGTCGAGGATCAGGCCGCAAAAGGGTAGAGGCTTGGTTCAAGTCATCTTGAAGGAGAACTGTCTGAGTCAAGCTTGAGGTGGAGTCGATGATGCACTGGAGCGGAGCGAGGCGCTCGTTTATATACCATGTGGGCTGGGCTTGCTTATGACGTGGGAGAGGGACAGAGGCAGAGAAGCAGAGTGGCCAAAGATGCAGATTGCATTAGGCGCGAAGCGTTATTGATTTGAGTTTTTGCGTAGAAGGTTTGTTATGCCTGAAGATAAAGGCTATGTAATCTGATAATATGTTTTGAGCCTTATGAGATCTGGTATGGCACTTATACAGTACTAGACATGTCTTTCACATTTCCAGGCTCGTCAGTAACGGTGTACCTCATAAAATGTCCTAGAAGCTCGTAGAAGGGCCCCATAAAAGGCTCAAAACATGTTATGAGATCATCAAATGACTTCTTTTTAGAGTGAGGTCTTTATAAACAGTCGAAAGTAAAGGTATGATCATTCTACCTGCCATTAGCGCCAGACTGTAGTCTCTGCAATGTCGGGGGATTTTGTCACTCGACATGCGATCATTTGACTCTATGGCTTCCACAGACCTAAATCTTCATGATTGGGCGGCAAGGGTGGACTGTCTGCCCCACCTCCTCTGCCACTCTCACCCTTAGCGTGAGAACGGCTCCGCCTTCTCTTCCGCGACTGAAACCTCCAGTGTGGGAATCACTGTTTGTCTCACCCTTCTCTGCCACCCGATACAATGGCGCGGAACGAGCAGTCCACAATAGAAACTGCCAGATTGTTCTTCGGCAAAAAAGTTGTATAGGAGTCGTTACCCTATGGATTTACGTTTTGAATTAAAAACTAGTGAAATGTTAGACAACTGAGCGTTTTCTGCTACACTAATTACGTTATAAAAGAACCTTCAACACTAGTCAATTTCAAAAAAAAACAAGACGAAAAAAGACTTACAGTGATGTGTTGTGGTAGTGAATCGAACCAGCAACCTTCTTCCCGATCGACGACAAAGAGGAGTAAAACAGACAGCGATTCCCACGCTGGGGCTACAGTTGCAGAGGAGGAGGTGAAGCCGTTCTCACAATGAGAGTGTGAGAGGAAGTAGGGCAGGAAGTCCAGCCTTTTAAGCTAGTCACTCAGATTTTGGTTCGTGAAAGTCAAAGATCTAAATAATTCGGCGCCGATTCCTTTATAAATGGAGGTATATCCCTCGCAAGGTATGGGTTCAACCGAAAGGCACTCTGCTACTCACGAACCTGGCAAAGCAAAACTCGTGTCTAATACTGTAGAGTTACCCTACCAGATCTCAGAACCCTTTGAAGACCAGCGTTGATATGCAGCTTGCGCGGCAGGCCTAGAGGACGACATCTGCTTCTCTGTGTCGTGCTGCTTGCGTTTGTGTTGCCACGAGCGCCTTTTTTCTCGCGATACGAGATGCTGCCGTTTCAGTATCTGATTGAAGCAATGAGAAAATTGAGAGTGAGAAAAAAGACAGAGAAATTTACTCCCTGGATATGAACAACCAGTTCCTGGAAAGCAGCCAAAGTCTGTAACTCAAAAAAAGACAAGATTATGCGAAAACATTACAAAACAAGGCTTGTTCGGCAAAAACGATTTTACAAATTGCAATATTTCCTGAGTCTCGTTCACTTCTCACCTCTACGAATGACTTCATTTAGACCACGGTAGGTGGCTTTGAAAGCCCATCACACCCTCTTGTCTCTCTCACCGACCCTGTGGGACGGATGGCTTGCTGAGCCATGAGTGCGAGATCAAACCATCAACCATGTGTGCAACGCAGGCACCTAGCCACTGCGCTACATGCGCTCTTTCATTGAAAAATGGGTCAATGAGCGTTATTTTATTCAAAATAGGTTTATAAAAGCCTATTTATTAACATTTTATCGTTTTGTGGCGATGAAGTTTCCCCCGTAATCGGAATGTAACTAAATAAGCTTTTTCAATGAATTCCATCTTTTTATGATGATAATGCTCCTAAGAACCTGGGTTCGTCTTCTTGCATCCATCATGCTGTTTGCGTTTGTCTTACCACAAGATGCGCAGCCTTTTCACGGGACGCGCCGCCTCCATTACAGTAGCAGAGTCAGATTTGTCTCCGCGCGGCGTGGGACGAAACGTCCCACATGGAAACATGCTATTAGATTATGAGATTATTATTGTTGAGCGAGATGTATATAAATAAGCTAAAAAAATAAAGGTATAAAGGCTGAGGAGCCCTGCTCAATCTTATCATCTGAGATACAGCGACGATGAGGGAGTCGGTAACGAAACAGATAAGGCATCCGTCATTAATGTTGGCGCTTGAGCTCTTAGAAAATGAAATAGTTCGAAGCTTAGGGAAAATCGACGAGTGCTCAAGGAATGTGCAGTAGCCCGAATCATATCCTTTCTTCGATGAGTGGCGGGCAGGTTTACAAAGCAACGTAATGCTCACATGCAAGGAGCCATTCGACTTCCATTAACCTTTTGAGGACTAGCGATTATAGGCACACCATCGCTTCCTCACGAGACACAACGCCGCCATTATTTGTGGAAGCATGTCTGGCTGTCTGCTTGCCATCCCACGAGACGCGACACCGCCATCACAATGAATGAATGAGATTCGACGCCGTGCGATGAGAAGCGAAATGACTCTGATGGTCCTTAAAGCGTTAACTAATCATAGACAATCTTACACTACTGTGCACCTATGAACATTAATGTACGAGGTGCGAGCACAATTTCTGGACCAACTTTTCGCAGACTATTGTAAGGGAGGTGAAGGAGGAGGTGGCCGAGCGGCTAGTGATGACCGGCGAGGGGTGAACCATCCAATCAACACTTTCCAGCAATCGATAACGGGCGCCTTGTGGAACGCTATTGTTTGGTATCGTCCAGACTGCAAGGAGATGTTTGTTACCAGTAATCTAAGCCGTTCGTGAAGCAGTAAGTTGGTGCAAAAGTAATGGCGGTGATGATTGTTGAAGTTTCACGTTTGACAATGGATTAAGTTCTTGAATAATGCAACCATGTTATATATCATTTCAATTCACATTTCACGCTTTATGTTTTGCTGCTAATCATGTTCACCTGCTTTTTAGTTTGAGATTTTTGATGACTTTGGAAAGGACTTTAGTTAGTGCGAAAGTAATGGTAGTTTCAGATCGTGAGTTCAAAATGGCTTGTAATACAGTGGAGGCAACCCGAAACATTATGAACGAATTTGGCCCAGGAACTGCTAACGACAGCACAAGGAAGCGATTTCAAGAAGTTTCGTAAAGGAGACGAGAGCTCTGAAGATGGAGAACGCAGTGACGCCATGGGAAGTTGACAACGACCAATTGGGTGCTTATCGATCATAACGGGATCTACGTGGCCGGCTTTCAAAATACCCTTTTTATAACGCTGTAAATCCAAAACAAAACTACATCTCATAAGTAATGTTTCAGCCAACATGTCATGTGGTCTTCTATGGGCTAATTATAGAGCCCGATATACCTGTTTCGGCCTTGATAGCCTCATTAGTCGGGCAGTACTCTTTGTCTTATCCAGACTTCTCGGGGGTACCTGAATCCCCCTATAGAGAGGGCGACAACAAAACGATTTACATTGCCGTCAAGTGAAATAAATCACTTAATTGTCAATGCTGTATACTTGATTGTTCTTGGCTGGTATTTTTGGAATGTCATACCGTTCGTCACGAGTGTTTTCTTAGAACCACGTTCGAACTCCAGCATATCTCGCAAGTATTATTTCAGCCAACATGCATCAATATTTCAAAAACACCAGCTAAGAGAATCAAGTGTACAACACTGCTGATCTAATGTTTATTTCACTTGACGGCAGTGTAAATCGTTTGTCCTCGCCTCCTCTCTATAGAGAGATGTAGAGACCCCCGAGACGATTGGCTATGACGGTGGGTACTGCCCGACTGATGAGGCTATCAGGGCCGAAACTCATGTAACGTGCTCTATAAGTTGACCATAAAAGACCAGATGACATGTTGGCTCACATAAAACTCATGAGACATATTGAAACTTGAGCGTGCTTTTAAGAAAATACTCGAACCGAGCAAAACTATGTCTCAGACGCACACAATGCAGCAAGGAAAAAGGTGGT